TCCCACCTTCTCTTTCAGTCAAGAAGATTGCATTTCCATAGCCGCCTCCATCCAAGGATCTCAAAGTGCTTCACCAGCGTTGGGGAAAGAAGCCTCACGAAGCCACAGCTGGGCACCATCATCTTATTTGTGCCATGAACAGGAATGCAGGTGGGTTGAGAGATTTGGGTGATGTGGCAGAATTAAGAATTCTCCATTGTGTCCTACTGCCCGGTACGGCCGCCCCTAACCCCTGGTCTGCTGGAGGTCATGGGACTTGCATGCAGATGAGCGTAAGTTTTGTAGAAGTCCAGCAGTCTGCTTTCTAATGAGGTTCAATTTATGCGAAATAAACACCGTACCGCAGTGACCGTGCTTTGGGGAGGTTTGAGGTTGCACAGTCAGCTGTTGGGATCGTTTTAAACACTTGTAACGTGGTTGATGGTTGGTCAGCTACTGCTGATGAAGTTTTTCGGCAAGTGCAGAAGCACCTCAAGTTTCAATATAAACATCTTTTAAAACAGCAGCCTCTCAGGAGACCCACCTCCCCCACCCTTTTTTTTTTTTTTTTTGCTAATTTAGAGCTTTGAAGTTTGGGTGGCAGACATTACAACGATATATAAAACTACAGCAAAATCTTATCTGTGTACTGGGAAAAGGTGGGTTTGGTGATTTTGTTACGACAGTTCCTTCTTCCAGATAGGTCTGCAGAAGACACAAGGCAGTGATTTGGTAAGTCAGCGGCTTCCTGGGCTTCTTGCCAGTTGTGGGTTTACCAGACCCAGCAGCCAGATTCTGATGCAGAGATCCTGGCTGCCCTCTTGGAGCGGCGTTCCATGTGCGCACAAAGATGAGGATGCATCAAAGGACTGGCAGCTTGACTCTAGGCATACTGCAAATCACGGAAAATAACCAGATCTTGGCATTTTGCTCACAAATAATAACTGAGCAGCATTAAACGTTGGCTGGTCTGTGTGGAACAAGACACGTCTGTGTGGAATAAGGAAGGGTTGGGCTGCCAGGGGTGATGAAGATATTCTTCCTAAAGCTTAACATGCAGCAGGAGAAATGGGAGTGTAGTTAAATTTTTAATGGGAATAGAGCTTGTCAGATGGAGAATTCAAGACGCTCTGTGCTCATTAACGATTGCCAGGAGCGGTGTAAGGCATTTGGTTTTACGAAGATAGTGGCCAAGGGCTTTAAAAGGGTCACGATCACACTGAGCTCGGTGATAACGAATGCAATCAGAAGCCCTGCTCCAAAGGGCTTGCAGTCTTGGTCCTACTGAAAAGAGCATTAACCCCAATCACTTGCAGAAGGGGTGGTGGGGAGCCCTGTGGCGAGGCTCCTGCTGCAGGCTGGTACCGGGTGCTTGACTCACGGACGGGAAAAAGCGTGACTGACAGATCCGGCTACAGGCAGGGGGTTGCTGTGCTTTGCCTCTGCAAAGAGAAAGGGCCCATTTCACTTTCAGCATGGTGTCCACATTGCTCCCAGCTTCTCCTTCCACCTCTCCCTATAAAATCTCCTGCTTGGGTATCACTGTCTGAGGCAAGAGCTGCGCTATGGTGTTGGGTCCTGCGCTAGCCCCTAGTTTATAGTCTTCACTGCCTGTGCTTGTGGAAGGAGATGGAAGGGATGTTTCAGGAGATGCTGTAGGAGAAAAAAAAGAAACAATTAACATGGACCTAGATGCTCTTCAATAAGAGCAGTGCCCAGATAAAACCAGCAAAACATCCTATGACCCAAGGAGCGGGAGCTCAGGGGCTGGGGCAGGGGGATCCATCCCAAATCCAGGCACATTCAGGCATATTCTTCCTTCCTGGGTTGTGATGAGGCACAGGGAGGATTCATAGGCACAGACCAACTCCTCTCAGTGTTTTGCACTTGGGAAATGCCCCCAACTGCTTTTTAATCCTTCCTCTCCTTCTCGGAGGAGAGCTCAACCTGCCGGCCACTATACTTCATTTACAGAACACAGCAGCTCTCTGATCTCCCTTACTGCAAGGTGGCTTAAAAAAAAAAAAAAAAAGCAAGCTAAAATGCACGATGCCAACATTTATATGGCTGAGAAATAGCAAAATACGTTACAAGAGGAGACAGATGAATGCAACCGGCAGAAGGAGACTGCGTGTGCAAGACCCTGAGTTCATGGCAGCGGTTGTTACGTTGCAACTCATGTGCGACTTTTTTTTTTTTTTTTTAATAGCGTAATAGCATGGTCTGTTTGCTACTGCAGTGGATAAATGCCTTAACGAATGGCCATTGCCTAGCAGCAGCGCCCGGAGTGGTTGAAAACGGTCTTGTATTCAGGTCATATTGTGTGTCCTGGTTGACAGCAACCAAGACGCTTTATGCAGGGAAACTCTTGCCACTAATAACTGTGCGTGCGTGTGCTGCTTCGTGGTATGTCCCAGCCCTGCCTACGTTCATAGAAACACGCTGTCACCAATCTTGATTGATTTATTTTTAAATCTTGCGATGTTAATAGCATCTCAAAACCCCCTCTGGATCATGCTATTATGTGAAAATCTCAGCTTCTCTTTTGGAAACAGGTTTTCAGACTTCATAGTAAAGAATTCAGCAAGGAGGGGCTGGGAAATCTGATTCACGTGTAATGCTTAAGCGCATAAGTAAACCTAAAAGTCTTTTCCTTAGCTGCTTATCCTGTTCAGTCCCTTCATTATGCTGATACTGATAGTGTAAAAACGGACACGTACGATTTGGAGCGGTGTGAATCACCGAGCTCATGTTGCTTGGGAGGACATGTCCTGGCAGCGGTTCCAGGTTGAGGCTGGGAGGTCCTGACTGGTACTGGAGATCAATGGTGGTTCCTGCAGGGGAAGTGGGAAAAGATATCATCCTTTGCACAGTTACCAAGAAGCCAGATGCTCTGGGCCGATCTCTTTTTTTTTTTTTTTTTCAGAGTATGTGGGAGACCTCTTTGGGTGGGAGTTAGTTAATGTCCTGGCTCGTTTTTTCATCCCTGCTCCCCTGGCCTCTTTGCTCTCAGCCTTCTCACTGCCTAGAGACAACCTCCCAGGATGGCTGGGGCTTCAGCTAATAACTGACTGCGCCCTTCATCTGTCTCTGTCTGTGTGTCCCAATTACTGCTCGTATCAGGGTTTCCCATATAGCTGTAAATTTTGCATATTGCTAAACAAAAAAAAAATGTGTTGTCTTCTTGCAAACTGCATCAGGTTGGTAGGTTGCCTAAAACTTGAGTGCCCTGCTGGTGTGAAGCACCACAGAGGGGACACATTTCTATAAAACTGTCTCTGGGTCAGATTTGCAGAGACAGGCTGGAAAGAAATATCTTCGGGATTGGACTGGAGCGAGAAGATCCCATGTTCAAGCTGCAATTCAACCTGAGCCTTCACCTCCCGCCTCCCAAGACCAAGTTCTCTCTACCACACATCCTCTAGAGGACACAAACCCAGACACAAAGCCCCGTAAGGCCTTTGAAATAAAATTGCGATCCTTTCTCAGCAGGGTTCGTACCTCCCAGCAGCATCTCCTGCAGCAAGCTGTCAATCCTGGCCACACCAAAGAGCTTCACGAACTGGACTTGCTCTATCATCTGCCAGGTGATGCTCTGCAGTGGGGGCAGCAGGAGGAGGATGTCGCTGAACCGGCCTCGGGAGTCGTACTGGCGATCGTTGATATAGTCCTCCAGGTTGACTTGGACCTGGAAGCGCATGTTCTTCACCTTCCCGGGCTCGCTCAGGCCTTTGCAGTCTGGGAAGGGAAAAAAATGAGATTCATCACTGGCCTGTATAACCAGAAAGTGTTACCCTGTCAGTCAGGCTCTGTAGAGGGAAAAGCATGAGATGCCCGTGATCCTCTGACAATTCTCTCTCAGAGTCTCCAAGTTTCTCTGACAGATTAGCCCTGGGCTGCCACTATTTCCTATCTCACATGGAACAGGGAAACAGTAAGGGGGATTGGAGGAGAAACAGTAATTCGAGGGGAAACAGTAAGAAAATAAGAGCTTGCTTCAGATGGCTATATCTAGATACTTCCATTAGTGAAGAGGAAGCATTTAGAAGCTGAACCGTATTTGTCCTTCCAAGGAAGCAGCCTGGAATTTCCCCCTGACAAATTTGAGTCCCAACCACTCCCACTAAATCCATGCAGGTTTAGTGCCTCTGTTGCAAGCACACCCGCTGCAGCATCAGCTTCTTGCCTTGATTTCTGGTCTTTGACCTGTGGTCGATCCGTTTTTCATGGACCACTGGTCCAGTTTTGCTTAATCATCAAGTAAATGTGCACTCTGGGTAGGGTGAAGTGCTGGGATTTACAGCTTTCCACTCCTGCCTCCCCTGCTATCTAAACCTGAGATTTCTGGCTCGCTGGACCATTTCCTTCACCGTCTACAAAAAATCCACAAGCACCACGTTTTAGAGACTGTCATGCCAGGAAGCTAGCTAAAGTGGTTAAAAAATTATTGTATGTTAGTGTGTAACTCCATGGACCTGCCTACTTGTTAGCATGAACAAATTTCTTTTCTGTAGAGGTTCACACTTTTTCATTTTAGATGAAATCACAGCGCCTCACTGTTGCGATGATCTAAAGCTTCTCTGAGATTCCGATCAGCCGAGAAGACTCCGTTTAATAACGCCATCCTTCTTGCGATTTGCAGCAGGCTCTTTGGCAAGCCAAAGTTCATGATGTTTGTAAAACTCCCCTATCTTGATTTCAAATCAGCAAGCACAGCAAAACATAACTAATGGAAGATGTTCTAATATCACCGGGCTAATAGATGCCAAAGGCAAAAGGGCGTTTTTCTGGGCTTGGGATCATTCCCCCAGCTACAAGGCAATGCACACTTAAAGGGACTTGGGTGTTCTACCGAGGGGGTTTGTGTGTGCTGTAGGGACATAGAACCAGGAGGGTTTGGGGGGAACCTGGGCTGAGAGAGAACCTCCCCTCTTCATGCAATGAGAACACATCAAAGGTTCAAAACAAGCTTTTGTTTGCCTCTGTGTGCTTCCCTGTTCTCCATCCTGTACAGATCAGCCCTGCCCTGGGTCGGTACTGGCTGCCAGCAAGTTCCATTAACAGACATCCTTGAGATTTCTGGGTACTCCGAGCGGTCCAGCTCTCTGTGGTTTTTAATGCCACTTTCTGAACTCTGATGGATGCTCTACACTCAGTTGACTCACTTTGCTTATGCATAATTCACTATAGGCATATATGTCCTTAATAGCCATCTCCTTCATTTCAGACTGATGGGCTTGCCTGAAGCCAAGCTACAGAAGCAGCAAAACTCCTCCAGGGTCTGCAGAGTCTCGCACATCACAGAATCATAGAATCGTCTAGGTTGGAAAAGACCTTTAAGATCTTCAAGTCCAACCATTAACCTAACCCTGCCATCCCACCACTAAACCCTGTCCCTAAGTACCTCATCTGCCCGGCTTTTAAATACCTCCAGGGATGGGGACTCAACCACTTCCCTGGGCAGCCCATTCCAGAGCCTGACAGCCCTTTCTGTGAAGAAGTTTTTCCTAATGACCAACCTAAACCTGCCCTGGCGCAACTTCAGGCCATTTCCCCTCGTCCTAT